AGGTTTCTCGCAGGGATTCGGGCACAACGTCCTCGGGAGTCCACAGATCCTGATGGGGACAGACAGTGAGACTGAAACCTTTTTTGGCTTGTTTCAGAAAGGGGAACAAAAGGTGAGAGGTGAAAGACAAAAAAACTCAAAAACAGCATAGAGGTATATACCGGGTCACTGAATATAAAGTCCAAGTTTGCCATCCCAAAGTACAGTAGTCTCTTCTCTTGCAAAGCTCTGCTGATATACTTGGCAATTTCCTTTGAGAAAAAAGATAAAGTGGTCATTTACAGTCTTGTATTGATCTGGACCATTGACTCATCTATTCATCCATCCATCTAACAGACAGGCCCATCTATAAATGCAAACAGTATTCTTTCTACCCCATCTCCCGTGTGTCATAGTTACTCTACCAGTCAGTGCATCATACCTGCATGGGGCCTGCTTCCTGAGCCTCTGTGTCGCCCTCTAGAGTCTGAGTGTAGAGCTCCAGATTACTAAGGAAGTCTGAATCTGTGGGGTAGAAGAGCAGCAAGGAACGCAGGGTCTCCACCGCCCCCTTCAGGTCACCAGCTGCGGGACACCAAAGAGATCATTTAAACCAGTGTTGGTATTGCTATCTAAAACTAAAACTATCAAAAATATTTTTTTGGTTAACCAAAATATTGAAATACAATAATATATATATATTAGATGAAAAGCTTAAACTTAAAAAACAAATGAAAATCACAAATGTTACCTAACTGAACTAACTGAAATAAAAATGCAAAGTTTGAAGTACTAAAATTACTAAAAACAAAACGGAAATAAAATTTTTTTAAAGCTAAAAAGAAATATAAAAAAACAAAAACGAATAGAAACGACACACATAAAAACTAAATTTCAGACTAAATTTAAAATGAAAATATAAAAATAAAAGCTAATTCAAAATATTATTAAATACTATAATAGCAAAATAACAATGCTATTCACATCCGCTTCATAAGATAAAGAATATAGAGTCATTAGAACGTAAGAGTCTTTGACACTGCCATTGAAACTGTATACAGATCAGAAATTAGTAAGTACAATGTAGTTAATTAATATTACTCAGTACTTATTACACTGTTTACACTGTAACAAGGACACATTAAAATAAAGTGTAACCCAAATAAAACATGGGAAGATAAAAAAAAAAAAAAAACAATAAAATCGCAAATTTAAGTTGTATCATGTACCATTGTGTTGATGTATTACATTGGTGCCTTTAGATAAACTTTATTCAACCAAGTGGAATTATGTTTTCGAAAAGGAAACAAAATAAATATTTGTAAATATTCCAAATAATGTGTGACTAAACACTGGTAGGAAACATCAGTACAGTCTTAATGACATCTGACCTTTGAACTGTGCAATATGTAGGTGCTCGAGTTGTAAGGGCAGGAAGTCCTCCAGAGCAGAAACTCTTCCAGGTCGCGTTGACACTAAGGTCACACACATCTGTTTGCATGACAGCAAGGAGTGAGAGAGGTCTGAAGAAACAGAGAAAGACTGAATTCACTGAACTGTTATATAATTGCCAAAACATTCCATTAAAGGTGCAACAAGCACCTTTAAACTGTTTAAAAACAAGTGAATCATTTGCAAATAAGATTGGCGTTTTACTATTCCTTGAAATAACCTGATATTATACTACTAATAGAAGCTGCAATAACTTGATAGACTTGGTAAATAAACATCCTTTTTCACCTGCAGCTCTCTCATAAACGCCCTGAACGTTGTCTGGCTCCTCCGGAATGACCCGGGACGCCATCACACATTGAGCTCTGCACTCTTCTGTCTGCTTGAGCGTCTCATTCACACACTCCTTCCACTTCTTCACTGCCTTCACCCAATCAGACGAGCTCTCAGCCAGAACGGCTGCATCATACATCTCCTAAAAAATGACAAACAATGTTACAAAATGATGTGAAGATGGTAGAGTAACTAAGAACAGCAGTATACAGGACAACTAATGCTGTTAATTTCAAAAAGAGTGAGAAAAAGAGACGAGTGAGGACAGTGAGGTGTAGAGCAAGTATGTAATTCACAGAAGTTGACATTATCCAGACATCTGTCTCAAAGACAAAGGACAGCTCGGTCAGTGTGGGAAGAATCGCCAAAATAACACTCTGCACAACACACTAGAAATCAAAATAACTATTATGATTCACAACAATGCAATTACACTGCCAGCAGTTATGAGAGCTGCTCAGACATCAGTATGCACAATGAGCACATGGAATTCAATTTACTCAATATATCTTGTAGTGACATTTGCAACAGTGTTATTTTAGTATTATGTATCATCATCTGTATCAAGATTTATTTTTATCCTCATACACAATTTCCCATAATAAATACATACATAAATAGGTAATGTTACATATTAACCGAAAATGTGTAGGCGGAAGCTTTATCTTATTTTTCCTACCCTCGTTTCATTATAATTCTAATAAGCATCACTTCTGCTAATTTTAATATATACCAGACGCAAACACAGTTAATTAAGCCTGTCATAAATAACTGAAAGTTACATTTTTCATTCGTTTACATATACAAATGATTCAAATTATTATGTACTTCATATTTATTATTATAGTATTTTGAATTAGCTTTGATTTTCAGTTTCAAAATGTTAAATTCTCATTTAAATTTTAGTTTAAACTTTTTTATTCGTTTTTTTTATATGTATTTTTATTTTAGTTTTGTTAATTTCAGTACTTCAACTTATTTACTTCAGTTAGTTGCCAAAGCAGCATTTCTATTTTTTGTTTATTGTTTTTGGTTCAAGTTTTTATCTAATATTTGTATTTTATTTTATTTAAATTATCACAATTTTTTTTTATATATATACTTTTAGCTAACAATAAAAATTCTGATCTGCAGACTGCAGATTCCCTTCTGTTGAACTCACCCAGTGTTGCTCCTGCTCTCTCTCTCTGTCCAGGAAGGATTCTTCTTTCACTCCTAACAATCTCCTGTACTTCTCAAGGTTGTTCCTCATCTCCAGGTGACTCGGATTGGCAACAAAGAATGTGTGAGCAGCTGAAGCTGCTTTGGCCATTTTATCCAACTGTATAACGGAGGAAGAGGGAGCTTAAACTCACAAAACAAACCATGGTATGTTTACTCAGACTCTTCCAGGTGTGTTGCCTCATTTCATGTTTTAAACACTTTGATTGGTAATTTTACCTTGTAGTAGGTGACTTGCAGGTAATTGTAAGGGTTGCGTGTTCCAAATTCATACTCAATGTCTGAAGATACTGGGAGCAGAGCAGCAGGAGAGACGCTTCGGCCCATACAGAACCTCACACACTCAGCCCGCATCTGGATCCAGTCTAGTATCCCCACGTCCCAGAGAGTGAAGTCCTCTTTGTCCATACACACACACACACACACACACACACACACACACACACACATTAACATTCATTAACGTGTATTAGCATGCACTGAACTGGATAAGTAATGGAAAATCCCAGTCTCTAGTTTACAAAGCATGTTTTGTATTGTTGCATTAGTTGGACAAAGTACTGTACTATCACTGTAAATGAATGAGTTACTCCAGGTCACTGAAACACTCACACACTGAGGTGAAGATTGCGCAAACACACTTTGTGCATCTGCACAAAAAGTTAGCAGTTACCTAGTTTGGAGATTTTGTCATCTCCTGCTGTTAAACACTCGTCGTGACATTTTCGTCTGGTCTGCAGGAGCTTGTCTCGTGTGGAAATGGATTTCTCCAGGAACTCCGCAGCGCGCTCCCAGTCCTCCCTAAAATACGCCCGAACCCCGCGGTAATAGAGCTCATCGTACGGGGCTGAAAGTCCGGATGAGCTCTCTGAAGATAGTCCGCTGCCTGCAGTCATAAAGACATAGTTGAGAAAGAAGAGGAACGCCACGTATACAGGGCTTGTGTTTGAGTGTAGCGCCATAACGCAGGAACGCAGGGACTGTAGTTGGGATGTGAGGAGAAGAGGGAGGAATGAGGGAATACGTGCCTGGCAGCGAGAAATATACAGCACGAGAGAGGAAACTTAATGTGTCTGTTCCAGGACAAATTTGCTCATAAATCAAGAGAATATGGGTGCATTATTATTTTGTATTACATATTTATTTACTTACTATATAATTACTTAGTTACTAAAACAAGATTTTAGTCGTACGGTTCGAGACTTTGACTTAATCTATAGTAATTAGCCTACATAAAAATATTAAAATCATTGGAAGTATTAATTGTAATAACTAGATTAAAAAAAATGTCGCTTGTGAACATTTACGAACGATTTGTTTCCAGCTGATAAACAATACAATCACTGACAGCCAATCAGAATCCCCCAGACTTTAAAGAGCTCGAGCATTTAAAGCGGCAAGTTTTTTTAATTAATAAACAAGACGGTGTTTATGGTTTGTTTTAGCTTGTTGTAAACATAATTAGTTTATATAAAAAAGAAGATAATATGATATCTCCTCATTTAGTTAGAAATAACGTATACTAGGAATATTTCAAGTATTAGAATTACTTTCATTGTTTTGTTTATATTGTAATATATAGGCTAAATCTATTAGGATAAAATCCAATTACATGATAACCAGTAATCGTCTACACTTAACCCAAAGCATATATTTGATACATCACATACTTTTTTTGTAGTTGCAATCTGTCGCAAAACTTTTTGCGCGCACTTACACTCCCAGCCGCATGAGGCCAGTATTGTTATTTACACGAGGTAAAAATTTCCGCTTTCTCATGTTGACAACTGTCATGGCTTCCATTTGACCGTAATACACAAAATACATGAGAATTAAAAAAGGTTTATTTCTCTTCAGTGGTGAACTGCTATAGAAAGTATTTGTTAGGCCGAGATTGCTATACTGCATTAAACGATCATTTAACTCTTGCATGGAAGGCAATACGCTAATGCTCATATTAGCATTTTATGTTTAAATTAAGTAGGGATTGTAAAACTTAATGCGCGCATTTTTGGCTCTTTACGGTCAAACACTTGCGGCTGTAATGCGTGCGGTGAGAGTGTGTGCAGCGCCCCTGGCCTCGAATGAAACACACTGGATCAGCAGCAGCTTTTTTTCATTGAGGGAAACTGAGCGAAAGAAGGGGGCTGTCAGAGACATCAAGCGGACTGTATTTCAGGAGCGGGGGCCAAAAAACCCAGGCGAGCAAGCGTGTGAAGGCCAATCGTGTTTAGCCAGATAATGACGGAGGTTAGCGAGATATTGATGTCGGTTCTGTCTACGATTCGGGTTCCGAGGCCCGGAGATAGTGTTCACAAAGACGAGTGCGCCTTCTCATTCTCCAGCCCGGTGAGTTCAGCAGCAGCATGCGACTGCACAGTCATCGCGCACTTTCGGGATTTATTTTTGTGTTTTTTATTTGCGTAAGGTTGCTGTTTTGCTTATATTATTATGCTTATTTGTGATATTTGCTAACTAGCGCTCATTGAGTGCACAAGTTTGCACTCTTTTCCTTCGTTATGTCAAGCGAGTCGTCATTGTAATGTTGACTCTGCACTCTTTGGTCACATCTTGATTAAACCACTAATTTCCCTTGATTTAGCCTATCAGCTTATGTATACTTCTTTAGCTAGCTGTGAACTAGTTATAACGCTAACATGAGCTAGTAGTTGCAGAGTTTCTTTCCTGGATGAGTCTGTGTGCTTCAGTAACGTTAACTGTTATCATGCGCGTGAGACAGCCACAGCCTCACTGAACACATGGTGCTGACCAACAGTATTTCGTTCTCCTTTTGTTTCAGGAGAGTGAGGGAGGCTTGTATGTCTGCATGAACAGCTTTCTCGGCTTTGGAAGTAAGTATGTAGAAAGACACCACGCCAAAACCGGTCAGAGAGCTTACCTGCACATCACCCGGACCCGGAAAACACAGGTAAGCACAGAAACACGTGACACATCATTCTGTGCATGTATAAATAACAGTGTTGGGTAGTAACTAGTTACATGTAACAGAATTACGTAATTTAATTACAAAATAAAAGTAATTGTAATCAGTTACAGTTACTGAGAAAAAATGTGTAATTAAATTAGTTACTTATGAAAATGTTAAGGATTACAAAGGGGGTTACATCTGCTTTTTTTCACACACCCCCCCACATACAGATTTAATTGATTTCTTTCATAAATTGCAGTGACTGCTCTAAAATATGAAACACCAATGTTTCAGGAGTTTAGAACATGCTTATTCAATAACTCTTTTATTTCCTATATGGGTTTATGTATAGCTATGCTTAATTTTAGTTCTTTTTTCCAAGGCATTGTTAGATTCCAGTGTTTACTGTCATAGCTATGTAAAGATTTGATTTCAAAAACGGTATCATAGCTAATAAAATATTTATTGTTATGATTTGAAATATGTATTTAACCTCAGAATGATCTCAAAGTAAGTCTGGTTTTGTAGTGGCTGTACTTCAAAGGGGACATTGATCTTCCACAAGTTGGTATGATTCTTTAGGGTTTTCATGAACGGTCTGCAACATACTTTGGTTAAAGTCCCTCAGTGGTCATGTAAAACAACACCCTTTTTACCTTGCTCTGTTCACAGTGACTCGTTTTGGGGCATGTCCCTTTAAATGCTTATGAGCTCTGCTCATCCGCCCCTTTGTTCCTTGGAAGGCGATTTGCAAATAATCATAAAAAATATCAAGTGTCAGACTTACTTTTACTTATTACATTTTAAGTAGGGTAATTTGTAATCTGTAACCTATTACATTTCCAAAGTAACCTTCCCAACACTGAATTAAATAATAATCATGCATGGTTTAAGTAAACGTTCGTAAATATTTGAAGTCTCCAAACAGAAAAAATTATGGGCGTCGAACAGGTTTCCTGGACACTCCTCCTGTCTTTCATTGGCCAGACAAACAGATAATTCCGCCCCCAAACTCACGCCATTGGTTCAGCATGTCTGTATCAGGTTTGGTCGGACAAACAGCAATGTTTAAGTTCAACAGTTGGGTTCTGGAAGTAAAAATCCCATTTATTTTCTCCATAGGGGAATTGGTTTTTAATGATAATTTATAAACCATTAAAGCCTGACCATCTGTGAGCAAAAAGGTTATTAATCAATGATATATGCTTTTGTTGAAGCCATCAGCCCAGACTATTTCAATTGATATTTTAAAATAAGCATGTTTAACATTGGAATTCCTGGTTAAAAATTACATTACCCATGATTCTCCAAAGAAACCTCCACCAATTCGAGAATCACGGCCAGTAAAACATGCCAAAAGAGTTCCCTCCCACTTCCATAAAACACTGAAGAGGACCTAACTGAGTTAGTCCATGCCTATGTTTAATTTTTTTAAATTGTTTTATCCTCAATGACCTCTACAGACTTTTCTTTGGTGTCATATACAGGACTTCTCCAATCATTTAGTTTTGCAAGCTCACGTTCATCTGTCTCCACTTTTGAGTGCCACTCCCACATATCAAAATCCAATAAGCAACTTATGGATAGAACCAAAAATCATGAACTTTTGTCTTTTGGTCCAAACACTCTGGCACTCTATTGCATTTTTAGACTTTTTCTGGAAATCAATATACACATGGCTTATTTATGTCTTTGTAAACTAATATGATATAAAAGAAAATGCTTGAACCTTAAGAAGAAATGTTACATATGGTATTAAAGAAAATATTTTAACATATTACTACGTCATGTAATATCACTGCATTTAATATGCTGATTCATGGCAAATATAGACTAACCTTGTCTGTGTATCAGAAGGAGGATGAAAACAATTCTGGATCAGGTGACCCTCCGAAAAAGAAGCCCACAAGACTAGCCATTGGTAAATACCTGCATTCTTTAGCCCTCAATCTTTGCTTCATATTTTAGTACATTTTAGTTTTGTGTTGTGAGTACGTTTATTTTATAAAATGTAAAAGGCTGAAAAGTTTGCATGTGTTTCTTGCAGGGATTGAGGGAGGGTTTGATGTAGAGCAGGAGCAGTATGAGGAAGAGGTCAAGGTGGTTCTGTTCCCAGACCGACAGGAAGTGACATCAGAGGATCTAGCGTCGATGCCAGATGTTGTTCGGGAACGGGTGAGTCATTTTTTTTTTTATTGTATTTTTTAAAATTATTTTTCACTATGTAATAACATATAGTCATAATTAAGTGAATGCTTTATACTTTATAACAGAGCAGACTTTGATTGGCTGTGTTGTATTGGTGTCTTTCGTGTTTGCAGGTGTCTCTGTCGATGGCGGGGCTGCAGGCAGCAGACTCAGTGTCACACATTTTGCAGGTGCAGCAGTGGGACGGAGAAGTGCGACAGGAGTCAAAATACGCAGCTGAACTTAAACAACTTGACAATGGGGTCAAAATCCCTCCGAGGTGCATACATGTGTGAATGTTGTAGACACATTTGATATGTACAGCTAAGCTCAGGACTCAGGAGAAAGTGCGAGTAAGTGATTCTTTACATTTACATTCTTTCTTTCTTTCTTTCTTTCTTTCTTTCTTTATTTCAGTGGCTGGAAGTGTGAGGTCTGTGACCTACAGGAAAACCTATGGATGAATCTGACAGATGGGAAGGTTTTTTGTGGGCGGAAATATTTTGATGGCTCAGGGGGGAATAACCATGCCCTCCTGTACTACCAGCAGAGTGGATACCCATTGGCTGTCAAACTCGGCACAATAACACCTGACGGAGCAGGTGGAATTGTCACACAAAATTGAATTTAATCATGCTGATGTTGAATATTTCAAGCCAGTAAAATTTTGAGTGCTTTACTGTTAACTAGGGCTATATTTATGATGACATTGTGTGATGTATTTGTCTCTGCAGATGTCTATTCATATGACGAAGATGATATGGTATTAGACTCTAAGCTTCCAGAACACCTTTCTCACTTTGGCATCGATATGATGACTATGGAAAAGGTACAGTCATCTCAAAAATCTCTTCTTAAACTGCTTAAGAAGCTGTTTTTTAGTGTTTCCCTCTCTCTTTGTTAGACGGAAAGAACCATAACTGAGCTGGAGATCGCAGTGAATCAGCGTGTGGGAGAGTGGGAGGTGATTCAGGAGTCAGGTTCCACTCTGAGGCCCCTGTGGGGCCCGGGGCTCACCGGTATGAAGAACCTGGGAAACAGCTGCTACCTCAACTCTGTCATGCAAGTGCTCTTCACCATCCCAGACTTCCAGACCAAGTCAGTGCCTCTCAGAATGTTTGTCAGCCTTTGTGTTGTTCTAGAGTTTTTGTCATGATGATTCAGCAATATTTCAGTCATGGATATAAAAACATCTATAATCGCTACAGTTCAAAGATTTGGGGGCAGTAAGATGTTTTTTTTAAAAGAAATTATTCAGCATTAAATTGGTCTAAAGAGACAATGTTAGAGAAGATTTCTGCTTCAAATAAATGCTTTTGTTGCAACACTGGTAATAAGAAATGTTTCTTGAGCACCAAATGAGCATATTAGAATGATTTCTGAACGATCATGTGACACTGACATGAGTAATGGCTGCTGAACACTCAAATTAAATTGAGTTGTAATATTTCATAATATTACTTTATTCAGATAAATGCAGCCTAAGTGAGCATAAGAGACTTCTTTCAATAACATTAAAAAAATCGTACTGACCCCGTACATTTGAATGGTGGTGTATTACACATGGATGTTTTGTGTATTTTTATGTTTATAAAGAACTATTGCTGCTGAAATAAATTATCTAAATGCATCTTTTCCTCTCTCTCTCTCTCTCTCTCTCTCTCTCTCGCTCGCTCATTGATTCTCAGATACGTTTCCAACATCGACAAGGTCTTTAATGAGGCGCCCAGTGACCCTACCCAGGATTTTAAGGCTCAAGTGTGAGTACCTGTCCCATAAACTCTAGTAAACTTTAGTCTAAAAGAGATTGTTCACCCCCAAAATTTTGCTCTCTTCAGTAGCTTTCAAATTGCACTTCCATGTATTTAAACTTGGCAAGCCATTTTGGCTAAACAATACAGGGGTCGTTTCTAATCACTGGTGTCAAATACATCTTGATGCCCAATGTTAAAATATACACAAATTTTGGTCTGTTTCTCACACAACCCTTGCATGACTTAAGAAAACCTGGAATATAGAGCAGTACAAGTTTTAGGAACCACTTTTTAGTGTTCATGAACAGTGTCATGTTCCACAGCAGAAAGAGTGTCATACAGGTTTAAAACAACATGAGAGTGACAAAATGAAGACAGAATTTTTCATTTCAGACTGAACTCTTGTCCTGATGTTACTGCAGGGGCTTCAGTAATATCATAAATCCAGCAGAGGTCGCCATACATCAGAATCAGAATCAGAAGAGCTTTATTACCAAGTATGTTTACGTTTCCCTGTTCTGCGTCTGCATGCGCGTTTGAACAACACAGCTGTACCTCCGACTAGAATGTCCAACAAAACGTCCGAATAATCAAAAACCGGAAAAATATTGTCTGGGATGTGCTGCTTAATGTTAAGGAGTTCGTCTCTGGTAAAACTTATAGAAGAAGAATGACAAAACAAAGAACAAACAAACAAAAACAATAGAAGAATCGCGGAGCTCAGCGTCCTGGCTGCCATTTGCGGCGCCATCTTGATCTCTTTTTCAAATTCTCCCTGTTACCTGAAAGAAAGAGGAGAAAAAACATGATTATCTGCTTTGATTGAATCATAGTGCTCAAACACTATAATGATTTTATAAAGTAACCAAAATTTGTATCTTTCTACCTCCATTTCGACTCTTTAAAATCAGAGCAAAGCTGGGTTATGGCCTTCTGTCAGGAGAGTACTCTAAGCCGGCCCCTGACCCCGGAGACGACCCCAGTACCTCTACTGAACCCAGGGTATGTACACACATATTGGGTCTCATTCATGAAATTTGTGTTTAAATCATTCATTAATAGATTTTGTACGGATTGTGACCTTTTTTGCAAGAAAATACAGAAATGCATTCTGCTTGTTCAGGAAAAGCCATTTATAAATATGACTTTCTTTGTACAGGGTGACCAGCTTGGCATAGCACCTCGCATGTTCAAAGCTCTGGTTGGACGAGGCCACCCTGAGTTCTCTACCAATCGGCAGCAGGATGCGCAGGAGTTTCTTCTTCACTTTATAAATATGGTGGAGGTAATGATGACGACTTGGTCTCTAATGCTTTCTCTGTTTTACACTACTTACTTTTGCATTCACTCATTTTGCGTTTTATTTATGTTGGCCAGAGGAACTGTCGGTCAGGCATGAATCCCTCAGAAGCTTTCCGCTTCCTAGTGGAGGAGAAGATCGTATGCCAGCAGTCACAAAAGGCCAAATATACCCAACGAGTGGACTACATAGTCCAGCTGCCTGTTCCCATGGACCAGGCAACTAATATGGGTTAGACACTCATAGCATGCTTCTGTGTATCCAATCCGTTTTATCCTTCCTCTCATTTATCATCTTCTCTTTCTGTTTATCAGAGGAGCTACAAGAAGCAGAGCGTCGCAGGGAGGAGGCGGATTCATCTGGAGCCCCTCCCCCTGCCGCACCACGTGCTCAAATCCCATTTGCTGCCTGTTTTGCTGCTCTTAGCGAACCGGAAACACTCACAGATTTCTGGAGCTCTGCAGTACAAGCCAAAACCACTGCCACAAAGTAATAATAATATTAATTTAATTCTCAATTAGTCTTTGGTTTCCTTCTGTTTGTATTAGTGTCTTTATATCTCTTTGTCTCTTAGGACCACTCGCTTTGCTTCATTTCCTGACCATCTTGTCATCCAAATTAAGAAATTCACCTTCGGCCTGGATTGGGTTCCTAAAAAACTAGGTGAATTATATATTTTTGGCTGTTTGAGAATGTAACGTGTTCATTTTGCACAAATAATTACATCATTTAAAACTGACCTGTTAATTGGTTGACAGCCCTTGTCTGAATATTAATATACTTTTGTAATCATTTTAATAGATGTGAGCATTGACGTTCCTGACACACTGGATCTGAGCGCGCTCCATGCTATGGGACAGCAGCCAGGGGAGGAGCTTCTGCCAGAGGTGGCTCCACCTCCTCTCATGACCCCTGATGTGGAGGTTAAAGGTATCCTGGGTTCCCACGGCAACGAGGAGGACGACTCTCTCTACTCCCCACTGCTGTGTCAGTCGGTCTTTTCTTCTCTTTCTGACTGCATCTGTCTGTCACTTAAGCCCGTCTTTCATTCTTTTTTTTCCTTTGCTTTCTTTGTTTGCGGTGTCTATTTTAATTGTATTATATTCATTAAAGTTTAAAAGCTTTGTTTGCTCTGTATATAAATGATATCTCATACAGCCTTAGTTAGTAATATTTAGTTTTCAGTTGAATGTAATTTATTTTGGATTTAAAGGAATAATTCACCTAAAAATGTTCAGATGAAGAAGGGTGAGTACATTTTCAGCAAATTTTCAGATTTGGAGAAATTCAGCATTACAGCACTTGCTCACCAGTGGATCCTCTGCAGTGAATGGGTGCCGTCAGAATGACAGTTCAAACAGCTGATAAAAACATCACAATAATCCACAACATGACTCCAGTCCATCAATTAACATTTTAGGAAGTAATAGCTGCATGTTTCTAAGAAACAAATCCTTCATTAAGGCATCAAGGCCTGCTCCGTTAAAATCCTTCATATTTAAACCAAATAGCTGTCCATAATCCATAATAATGCTTACTCCAGTGAAAAATTCCATCCCCTGTTGTTCTCTCCCATTTGCCAGCATATTTTGTTAGAACTGTTTTGAACCGTTTTCACTTTTAAATGGTGCTTGTTTTGTGCATATTTCTCTCCTGATTCAGATGAGATGACTTTTTCACTGAAGAAAATGTCTTAATGATTGATTTGTTTCTTACTAATGTGCAACTTTTCACTTTACAAGATATTAATTGATGGACTGGAGTCATGTTGTGGATTATTGTGGTGTTTTTATCAACTGTTTGAACTCATTCTGACGGCACTCATTTATAGGGCTGAAACTATTCCTTGAGTAACTCGAATACAAAAAATCATCGAGGAAAATTATTTGCCTCGAGGCTTCGTTTAGTCCACACACGGTAACTACACACGGAACACTGTGTTTCCCCACGGACCATTATTACTGATGCACAACCCGATAAACGCTGGACATGCGACCCAATGTGCACGCTATCCATGCTAAATTCTATGTGATATTAGTCATTTTCAATACTATTTAGGGCAGATAGGGTGGATAGTATGCACATTGGAGTGTGCATACACTCTTTGGAATGTTACAAGCTCTTGGTGCATAAAGAAGATCTGTAAAGTTGCAAAGACTAAAGTCTCAAATCCAAAGAGATATTCTTTATAAATGTTAAGAGTCAACCACGCCTACCTAAAACGGCTCGTTCTAACACGTCCCCACATGTCTACGTCACGATGTGGGAAGATTTGCATAACGCCACGTGTGTAAATAAGGTCCAGTTGGTTGCCTGATTTGTGAGTAGCCGTAGTTAATACTCGCTTGAGATCAAAAGAGGCAAGCAGAGTGTGGAAGTCTGCAGCCTGAGATTTATCTAGGTGGATGTTGAAGTCTCCAAGTGTGTTTGTGTGTGTGTGTATATATATATATATTAGGGCTGTAACAATACACGTATTAGTATTGAACCGTTCGGTACGAGGCTTTCAGTTCGGTACGCATTACAAACCGAATGATTTGTTGGACTAATCCTATTACAGCATATTATTCTATTAGGTTAGATTAGTGCATGTGCGCATAGAGAGTGCGTTCTTTCACTGCATAATTCAGTCTATTAAAATGCATTTAGAATGATCACAATTTCAAGATATGGGGACAGAAATTTACATAGAAATTTACATAACTTCATATAGTTAATCAATATCACACGAATAGTGCCGTTTTTTTTCTCTCCAAATATCAGCATGATTATAAATGATTTTTACAACAGTTCAATAAACAAGAAGTTAATTAATAGACTTACGTTTTAGACACCATATTGCCTGTTTTTGCTAAATTTCGCCAACAAAAATAAATCCAAACACAGTCTCTGAGCAACATGGTGTTTCGTTCCTGAATTAATCAACCTTTAAATGATTTGGTTCAGTTGCAATGACTCACTTATTAACAGTGACTTGCTGCCACCTACTGGTGGTTTTAAATTCATTTAAAGTATATTTTCATTTTTGTTAAATAGTGTAAATAAGCCTACATCTAAATGCCTCGTCGGATGCAGCTTCTGTGTTTCCTCTGCATTACAAAGATGAATTTTGTTGATACTGACACCATTTGTTTGGTAACAACAACCCAAATGTCTTATTATTCTAATTGACTGATTAAATGTAATAATTTGACTCAAAAGATGATGCACACTTTTAGGAAAAAAAGGCTTTATAAAGGTAAAAATGCCCATAAAATGTAAAAATCTATTTAAACTTATTGGAACAGATTAATTTCTATCACTGCTGTGAACTGACCAGCACACAGAATATGGA